ATACAGTCTGCACAAAGGTCCATTAAGGTTTAATGACGCTTTTAAACTCTAATGAATATCGAATTTGTATGGTTAATATATACGCTTGAAAATAATGACAATTTTAATGGACGTTTGCGCAACTGGCGAATAGTGAATTAACATTATTTTGTGTGTAAATGACAAGGACGGTATCTATAAATATATAAATATTTTACGTAAACTATTCTGTCGAATTTTTTCACGAGACAAGAAATTTTTCATGTACTGAAACTGCCAACAAGTCAAATTTATCCAAGTAGCTTTGACATACTTATAAACTTAGAACGCAAAAAGTATTTTCGAGGTGGTAAATCATTGGTTATATCTAGTCGTCGACATATTTAAAGCACCTAACGGTCAAGTTATATACAAGAGCCAACAGATGGCGTAATTATTTTATTTTATATCATTACTTTTTATTTAATAAATATTCTATTCTATTTGATTATTTGTTTGATATGTAAAAAAAAAATGCTACTGCCAAATAATATAATCATAGATTTTGTCTCGTCAAGAGATGGCGTTGATATTTTAATGTGAGATTAGTGCCAATTCTGTTTTAAAACTCTCACTCACCTAAACTAAAAATAATGTTATTTCAAGTTGGGTTTATTTTCACGCTATTACGTTATCAACCTAAGAAATATAATCATTCTACGTTATTTACAAAACAATAAGTTATTTCTATCATCTTATATCTCAGTTTGACAGCTTTATATCACAGAATTTCTGTAAATATTATATTTTATTAATAAAAATATAAAATATACCAATGATAGAATAAAGTATTTCTCTGAAGAGCAATTTGCTATTGGTTCATGCGCTAAGCCAATTTTATTTTCTACTCCGTGATACCAAGAATTCAGTCTTAAGTATGCAACTACATTGTAGAGGTTTAAATTCGCGTGTCACTCATAATAAACGTAACTAATATGATCCACGACCGTAAGCCCTCGTTTTAATCGAGAAATTGGTCGATAACCCGCATGCGGGGACTTTTCAAAGGCGGGGGAAACGACTAATGAAAATAAACAAACAACATTACAATCGTTTACGCACACTAATGTTTTCTGCAAAAAAAAAGAATGCTCCTATTATATGCGTTTGGATCCTGAAGACTAATCTTTCATCAATCAATTATACTGGTCGATAGGGTCAGTGTGTGCAATGCGGGCATTGGTAAATTAATAAACAAAATTATCGTCCGTACGTCTCACGCGGATGTTTTCGACCAGTATAAATAAGTCTTCATAGCTAACGAAGACGAGTGCGTGCACCCGGGAGATTACTGTGACTCGCTTTCATTGGTCGGTGCAAATTTGACGGAAGATCCGTCAAGAGTCATACAGAAGTAGCGGTTATGCGTAACACATTTTCTGTCAGACCTGTACCCAGGCCCTTCTTAAGCACAACAGGTGCCCGGCTGCAAGCAGTGCTCTGGCGCCCCCTTGGGTGGGAGGTGGCTCCGCCCTCCCTCCCCAACACAGGGAATTTCCTGATGATCATCGGTGCGACGCCCACCAACGCGCGGCACCCGGATGCTTTGCACCCACCATGAGTAAAGACCGGCCTGCATGTAGCGGCCCTAAAGATCTGCATGCCTTACAGAAATCTGCCTTATTGCGACCAATGACAATGCGCCTTTATTTTATTCAAAGAGTCGACCAACGACAGTTATTTTTAGCACTTTCATAAATCATCGTCATCATTGATACATTCTAATCACCACGAAACACAGCTATTTACGTTCCCAGTGATGTAACATAAGCTTTGTCGATAAAAATAAACACAAGGAAGACGGCCATTCCACCACCCTCTACCACCTACGCCAGCTAATAGATAATTCTAACAACAGCAGATGCTGCTGGTTTGAGTACCTTCAATAATATTCGATCACCCATCCCATGACTGACCTTTGCGAAAGTTGCTTAGCATTTACAATCGCAGACTGATCATGCTTCCCAGAGTAATCGAGACCGTCGCTATCGGCCTTTATCTGGTCATAGGATGTGTGACCAAAAATGTATTATCTCGAACTGATTCATGTTTCGAAAGGCACTTTAAGCCGTTGGTTTCTGAGGCTGGTGATGAGTATCGATGAAAATGAAAATATTCGATCGGTACAACATCCAAAAAAGCCCTTATAGAAAATATTTCATAAATAATGGATGTTCTACAGGTCACGACTTATTTATAATACCATAAAAAATTTATCAAGTCAAAGGGGAAATTTGAAACATTTAAAAATATTACAAAAACATTGTTTAATATTTATACCGGATGTATTTTAACATAATACGTGTGTGTATTCAGTTTTTTTATATGGAAGTCCGTAATTTCAAACAGACTTCGTAAATTCTCAATTCTTTTTTTTTTTGCCTTTAAGAAACTGATTTGATTTCAAATATGTCACATTTAGTATCATGAGAACTGGATAAGTAATTTCTTCGTAAACTTGGATTTTTGTTCTTATTCAAATTATTATTTTTTTTTAAATACGGGGCCTTCCAAAATTACGTCCCACGTTACGAGGGGGGGGGGGATTCGACAAACTGTGACAATATTTAGTAGAATTTGTATAGACAAACAGGTGACAGGAAGTGGGGAGGGGTTAAAAAATCATGAAGTTCGTGTGACGTAATTTATGGACTGCCCTTAAGATCAAACGAATTAAAAACTTTATTACCTTTTGAATTTGGTTTTTTGTTTCATGAGAGTTTGTTGTGACAGCTGATCGAGTTCGAGACAGATTTTAATAGCTAGAGCGATTTCAAAATTTTTTCACTAAATATTGCTACACTATCAAGCAAAACTTCGTTTATGATGGAGAAATTTAAATTAACTTCTTCGTTATATTAACTAAAAATGGTTCCAAAGAATCAATTTTGGACTTTATACGCAAAATTCAATAAGTAAAGGAAAATGTTATAGTTTCCCTTCTTGGAGCGTTTAAATAAAAGCTTTATTTAAAAGGTTTTTATTTTTGCTTTTAATTTTGAATAACTTTTTTCTCAATCATTAATTCGCAGAATATAAAGATTTTAACATATTTTGAAGTTATGCACCCCAAGCCTTTTGCCGGCTAGCTTAGCTTTATTATAAATTAATGAAAAACACTGAGAACTTATTTCTTAGTTCATGGGCTTGTTTATGTGACTTTTAAATATCATTCATAGATTATGATTATCATCAGTTAATAAATCAATGTCTCTTACGCCGACAATTTAAAAAAAGTGTCTCTAAAGCGTGGGTCAGAAATACTAACCGAGCTATAAGACCAGGGGTGCCTAACTCATGGACGTAGCCGTAGTCGTAGCTTTAACCTACGCTTTATAGGTTTTACACATGAATCTGTTGATATTGTTTTAAAATTAATCATTTTTTATTATTTACATATTTAATCAATGCTTTCAGTTGTTTTTGTTTGCTGAATTATTAAAGTTAAACGAAATTTACAAAATGTCGAATTGATACAATCAATGCTATTTCGAAAAGGAAATCAAACCAAAATGTTTGATAAAATATATAAATTAAAAACAACAATTAATTTTAAAAATATACAAACAGATTCATAAGAAATATCGATAAAGTGTAGATTATAGCTACGACTCCGGCTACGTCCATGAGTTAGGCGGTCGCACCCCTGTACTCGAATGTTGTAGATGCATCCAGTATATTTAAAAATAAAATTGGTCTGTTAAAAACCAATCAATAAACAGTATCGTGAAATAATAAATGAATAACGAAATAGTTTTCATATTTTTTTAAAACCGTCAAATCTTCAAGGAGATGGAGTTCTCTTGTCTATGACTCAACAACTCGACGTCTCTGATTTAAATGTAAGGAGGTGAGGTTATGAATTTATATACAACCTCGTTTGAATTTCATATTGACGATGGCGCCGACACAAAACGACGGTGCAGAAAGCTCACCAAAAACTTCTAAGTAGCAAACATTTGAGAAAAATCGAGAAAGTATCCCAGAAAACATATTGGAAAAGTATTTATTTGTTATGCAGTTTCATCAATAGTTTCGTTTTTACGTTATTAACATTGTGTAGTGGATTTAAGCAGAACATCAAGCGTACTAAACTAACCATTTACTATACGGAATTAACAAGTATTTGGGCCTTTTTGTCTTCGACCGAAAATTCAGAAATTTTCGAATCGTTTTTCTTTGTGAATATTATCTCTGTCCGACATCCGTTGCATCATAAATTCTCGAAATACATTGCTTTCGAGTCTTATTAGCATTTTGAAAATAGATGAAATTAATTATCACGTTTCCCATTGATTATAACGAGTGATATGTACCTGAATAATTTTTGTGAAAACATCATTAGTCGGGTTGGTGGAGAACACAAACCCAACTAACTATGCAGTAAGTAACGAGTTTTTAAAGTGGAAAATTCAGATTTCCATAACATAAGAGTATTAAAATGGTTCAAAATACTTAACTGTTGATTTGAACCATTAAGTGATATTTTTATCTCCAGCCTCTTAATGTCTCCACTACTAGAGCACAGGCCTGTGGTTGAATCGAATCATCAACCCAGTGCCCAGAACCTAGTGCGGATTTGTGGGTGGTAACGACTGCAGATGTAAGATGCAGAAGTAACATAATAAATTTTTGGTCACCCATCCTATGACTAACCTTCGTCATCAGCCCTTTTACGTCCCCACTGTAGGCATTCCTTATGGATGGTTAAGGAGGATGGGTCATAACTCTCCACGCTAGCCGAAAACTGAGTGGATGGTATTAACAACTGCAAATACAGCCACGACGCATTCTTGACATGCTTACTGAAGTACAGAGTAACTTGAAATAATAATGTTTTTTTGGTCACCGATCCCGTGACCGACCCTTGCGAAAACTGCTTAACGACAACGTTCGCGAGCCGTGGCGGTTATCCACTACGCCACCGAACTACTCAATCCAACACTTCCATTTGTTATAATAGTTTCTCTCTTTTGTTCCAGATAATTCGCTCAGTTTGAATCTCTGCAGTATTAGTAGCCGATAAATAATGTACCAATCAGTTCTGTTCTTCATCGCGGCACTGCTGTGCACCGAGAGCAAATCCGCCAACATCAACAGGCATCTCAAACTATTAGACTTCGAAAACAATATAGAACCTAATGGTGAGTGTGAGAAAGCCGAAATTACTTTAACCAAAACTATTCTTAAACTATTTAGGTACTATTAGGGAAGCTCACGGTATTCCACTTTACATTCAAACCTTTCAGTTTTAACAAAGTGCGAAAATAACCGAAGACTATTTATAGAGCCATGTACTTTTAGGGAAGCTCTCGCTATTCCAACTCGCAAACAATAGCTTTCGTAGAGTTTCACTAAAGTCTTGAAATGAAATAAAATAACGGAAGCGATAATACGAATGTTTTTTTTTAGCTAAAGGTTAGCGATTATATATCGAAAATAATATACAACGGAATGAAAATGTCCTTGTTTATAGCAATTAGGATAGGAAAAAGGTTCGACGCACTGAAATCATATTTAAACAGATGAAGCACTGGTTTTCAGCCAACACCCTTTTTTGCTAACGAGGGTAAATGGCCACAAAATGACTGATTTCGTTAAATACCTTACTACCTAAGTTCTGCCAACGCCCATATATATTTTACCATTTGTTCTGAAGTCTGAACATCCTTTCGCATAGTGCGAAATGTCGTCATCGTACATAATTATATTATCTTAAAGAATCTACATGTTTATTATCTAAATCAGGGCTTCTCAAAGTAATGCATCCACGAACCCTCGTAATAATACGAGTAAAATTAATTGTTTAAAAATATTGTGTAAATCTTGTCGTGCACTCTCTACCATCGATTGGGAATCCAACCCGCATACGCGTTCTCTACATTGAGAAACATTGTTTTAAATATCCAAAATTAGAATAAACAATATGAACTTGATATTAATTTAACTTGTATTTTATATATTTCCAGCCTCTCCCACAAAACAAGCGGGCGTCTTGCGTTTCTTATCTCTAGAACGGAAACCCAACGCTTTATATGCGCATACGACGGGGGTATTACTGCCCGTTACATGTGAGGCGATAGGCTCGCCCGCGCCCACAATACGCTGGTTCAAAAACAACTCGCCTATATATGAAGTGAGTAACGCCTTTTTACAATGAGTTGACCTGCGACAATAAATTCCGAATTGTAATAAGACCCGTCTTTAAAATTTCCTGCTAGAATACTTCTTCCAGTCCAAACTTTACTCACGCATACATAAAATCGGGATTCCATCAGGGTTATGCATATGTGAATAAATTTTGCACAGGAATAGTAGTAAGTGTATTATAGCACGAAAATCCATAGGAGGCCATATTACACCCAATCTTAAAATTACTATTTGTCCAAAAATTTATTTTAATCAAACCATAGACAAGCGACCTTATTCTGTATGTTAATTCACGTAGGGTGAATGACACGGTTTTAGCACTGGCACTTTTTTTACCATTTGGGTTTTTTAATTTACCGTGTATGGTCCTTATAGTATTTACCCTAAAGGCAATGCTTTAGAAACACAACTCTCTGAAGCCCGAGATGGGACTCAAATAAACAAATTATATATTATATGCGTATTCTTATCAGTTTACATTAAATTCGGCTAAACAAGGATCCCGTGAATTCTAATCGAGGGTACCTGAAACTATTAATTACTGCATTAACTGGCTGCATTTGCAGTATTTTAGATTGCAAATGCAGCCGGGACTAACGGCTTAATGTGCTTTTCGAAGCACGGAGCAGCTCGATGTACGAGTATTAATTTTTTGGTCACCCATACCGCCGGCTTATACAATGTATCACCGAGCTACTTTATAATTTTAATATGATATTTACTACTTATTGCCGAAAATTAATGTGTGAAAAAATTTTTGAAACTGAAAGCCGAAAACCAATAAGATGCAGAGTAATTCAAATCAGATAGAAAAATTACTTAAAATATAAACATTAAAAAAATTAAGTCATAATTACTTGTTACTAGCATATAATATAAAGGTCTGTGAAAGGAATGAACTTCATACAAGCAACAGGTTGATAAGTTACCATTATTTGAGAAATGAAGATTCTTTTCATTTCTCAAATAATGGTAACTTATCAACCTGTTGCTTGTATGAAATTCACCACATCGTTGACACTGAATACTACCACGAACTTATTGTTATCACGTGAAAAGACCGTCATCCCTATTAAAAGAGCTTTATTCTCATTTCAGCACGATACAGAATCCAATGAGGTAATAGAAAGTAATCCAAACTCATTGGGTAGAATCACTTCAACTCTGCTAATCACACACAGCGATGGCTCAGACGTCTACACGTGTCTCGCGACTTCTGCCAGCAAAATGGTTCGAGCTAGCACTGTTATAACCAGTTCAGGTAATTATACAAAACTCACTGTCCTCATTAAATTATTAGAGTGCTATTAATAAACAAGGTTAAGTCAGAGTAAATTTACGATAAAATTCCAATATTATTATTAATCCTCATTCATTCATTCACTCGCTTAGAAGCTCGTACTAGGTTAACCCTTGCTGAGTATCTGTTTAATAATATAAATTTTTACTAATACTAAGTGCAGTCTCAGCATAAATTTACTCTAACGCTAAACCTTGGTTATTAATAACAATGTTAATGTCTCCAAAAACGGATTCCAGCCCTCCGATCAGTGCTCCTATTGGTAGGAGTAGCGGGTTTATTTCCAATCCTCCGATTAAAAAGTTTGGTAGGAGGATCGGGAACACTTTTCCCATACCTCTTGAATGTTTTTTTTTAACTTTACACGATCAAAAGTACAGTCATGGTTTATTGGTTTGTACTAAAATAATTTGGTTAAGTAAAGTAAGTGATAAACACAAAATTCATTAAATCGGAGGTATGGGAAAAGTATTTCTGCTCGTCCTACCATACCTATTAATCGGAGAATTGGGAAAAAAATCCCGCACATCGGCAAAATACACACCGTCAAAAGCTGTTGAAATTTATTAATCGTAATCGGGCTACTAAGAAAAACTACATAATCAAAGAATAAGTATAACAAGTCTACCCTTAAACATTCAGCAACTTCTCAAAAAGCTATTTTTTTTTTCATTTCATTAGATTTCAGCTAAAAGCGATTATATCTCATGTCTTCGTTTTTAACAATAATTTACCAAATGTTGGATACATTTGCTAGAAAAACTAATCCCCAATATGGACACTGCATCCCTCCAGAGGTCCAATCACCTAGCTCAAAGCGATAGCTATAAGTAACTAAGATTTTAAGGTATGATTGCGGAGTACCCCAAATCAATAGATCAGGATAAACTCCTTAATATGTATGTTACCTAACATAGAGTAAGTGACAAGGTTTTGGCCACTGGCCCACTTATGATCAGTTTTAAAGTCCTAAATGGTCAAAAATGATTTGACTATTTAGGACTTTAAGGTGGTCTAACTAACGTATAAATAATTACTTTTCCGTGTACGGTCTTTACAATTATTTCAAAATGAATATTATTGATAACTGCCATGTGCCAAAGTTTCCTTCCTCGTAACTGTTGAAATTGTCCATAACCGAGTCATCTGCTCTACCCAACAGCTACTTTAACAATTTAGTAATGTCATTGGGCTATCTTGCAGTTTTTTTACACCGGCCGCATTCGAATATAGGCATTTTCCATAAGTTTCCACTTGTGTCTCTCCTTAACCACGGATACTCTATAATATTTCACCCAGTGTGTTGCCTGATGTCGTCCACCCAACGTAGTGGAGAGCGATCACGTGTGCTTGACCAAGGTATTTTCTATGTTAATGCAGGGAAAACTACAGATCCAACGGAACGCTCCAAACTCCTCCCTCTAGAACCACGTATCCTGGTGTCGTACAAGGCTTTCGTTGACACCATTGGGAATACTGTCATACTGCCTTGTAAAGCGAGAGGCTACCCAAGACCTACCATATCGTGGAGGGACAACAACGGAGTATTAGTTACTAAGAATCCAAGGATGAAGGTAAGTCACAAATAAATGATGTTCGAGTTTTAATGTCAGTTCAGTTGTTTTGTCAAATTTATCCCAACCATCAATTTAGAATCATTTTTGCGTAATCAAAATATTGTCAACACAAAATATATAATATAAAAAATTCCAATATTATTCATTATAACTGTTTTTCCGTGATTTCGCCCAATTTCGCCAGAAGCTTCCGGTAGATGAAAATTTTTTACATCAAATCATTCGAGTAGTTTTGGAGCAATGCAAATAAACAGTGAAAGTTTTCCTCTTTATTGGTATAGATAAATCATATACAGTAAACAATTTGAAAAACTCCTACAGCAATCGTAAAAGTTGCAGTTGCCGCTAAAAAAATCTAATAAAATGCCTTATCTAAAACGCCCGATAAATTAAAATAGCAATCTCATCAACTTTAACGTTTTGCTCAGGTTCTTCGGTCAGGTGAACTTGTGATATCGCCGCTGCGTTGGAGCGACATGGGTGAATTCACTTGCCATGCGACGAACACATTCGGAAATGGATCAGCTTCGACTTTTTTGTATCCAGCTGTAAGTGACATATAAATTTATTTTGTTTCTGAAACATACTAAAATTTGAGCTGTAGACATTTTTCTTTCGAGCCGTTGTGTAAAACGTGTTTCTTGGAGTTCTATTATAAGAAGCATACATTACCAAACCAAATGCAGTAACCTCTACGCCAAGTAGGTCTTCATCATCACAACATTAAAGTCGCTTTTTCTGATCCTATATCCCTCCTATGTAAGCTTTAATCTTTAAAACTACGCAACGGATTTTGATGCGGTTTTTTTTCATAGATAGGATAATTCAAAAGGAAGGTTTTATACATGTGGCCGCTAGCTGAAAGCTAGTTTAAAAATAAATGAACAACATTTCATACATTGCTTCGGTTCAAAGACGAGTAGATCTGATACGAGCCAAAGCCTTTATGTTTTGAAGTTGGAGGTTTATGCGAAATTAGTCTTTATTTTTATAAGGTTAAGCGTGCATAAATTATTGATACCTAGATAGTACCTGATCATTTGCTTGTCCTTGTCCCATTCAGATTTCTATAGTACCTATACAAAATAATTTAAGAACTACTTACTTAATAACATTTCTTTTTTTCAGGCAGGATAAACCCAACATTCAACAATTAAGCGTCAATACTTAACCGTAATGTTCCTGTTAAAATATAAGTTTCTATACGTTAAGTGATGTACACACTGTATTAGAAAAACGCTGTGTTTCTTCGCTTGTGTATTAATACAAACATCATACGTTAGCATTATACCCATTAAGTATTATCTATGTTTTGTTCATAATTATATAGGATACTACTTTTTAGAATTGCAATATTGTTTTTATTTCTATAAGATTTTCTTTATTTGTATGTTATTTTTTGTATTTTTTCTACAAAGCATAATTTATTTCAGTTAATGAAATTTTAATAATATTACGATGTATAATTAAAAAAATAATGATTTGTTTACTTTTTTACTTCATTTAAATAGAGAAATAAGTACATTATCTACTAAATAACACTTTTTTATAAGATAATAATAAAACGCAGCGTTTAACTATGATTGTGTACACCTAACAAAATCGAGTCTGCCTATTTTTTTATATTATTATTTGTTGTAATATTTAATAAAAATGCCCTATGATGTGTTATACAGAATAACAATGTATTATTACGATTTATTAATAGTTGTTATTGTGATCATTTGATTTAATAATACTGACTATTATAACATAAAGTAGACTGTGATTCAAATAGTTGGATACGAGAAATTAAAATAAATACATTTATAAAAAAAAGACAAATGCTTTTTTCTATATTTTCCTTACAAAGTACTATGGTAGGTATATTCCTCTATTCTATATAACTTAATAATAACACAATTGTCAGCAGCATTTTGATAGGTAAACTGACTTGTACGCATAAAGGAAACAGTCAAAATCAATATAAAAAATTTAGCATATACCACCGGCTTGGGAACCAGTAATTAGTCAAATAAAATCTCAATACAGATCACACGTTGCAAACCAAAAGATACAGTTAGTTCATTCTGTAAATTTTTAAATCAAAGGGAGCAATTCAATTTTCTTGTCGGAGTTTGTTTCAACAGTTCTTCTCAGACAAAACTCCTCAATTTGGAACTGGTAGATTACGGTAGCCAGGTGTAAATAAATAAGTCAAATATATTTTAAAAACAATTTAATAAATGTAAACGTTGCCATAAAATACACATATTTTATATAATAAAAAATTCTGTGTCACGATATTTACGCGGGACGTCTCGATTTTCAGGGGTCCGGGGACGCGTCCCGATTTGTACCTAATCGGGACGCCAAATGTCCCGAAAAATCAATCATTTTTATTAAATATTTTTTTTTTCATACTATCAAATCCATTTTGGAAAGCCCCTAACTACACATATTTATCTATGTCTGAAAGCAAAAAAGCTACCAATCTAATACCTATTAGTATGTCATGAGGAAGATTAAGATATCAGTTATTTATTAAGGTTTTTTTTAATTACTAATTAATGTTGAAACTAAGCTATATATTTACGGTTACATTTTTATTTGTTTTTTATTACATGATTGAAAAAAGTGTATTGTATTCAGGGTTAATGTTTGTATGTAAGTTTCTTTATTCCCCTATAACTTTGGATATAAATGTAGGTATAGGGTGTTAGGGTTTTCAACATTATATCATCTCGAGTGACACTGGCTATACATTTGTTTTATATTTAATTTGGCTGATATATGACAATTAAAAAAAAATAATAAAAAAATTGTTTTAGCTATTTCGATTGACTATAGCAATAAGGTTATCAAAATAGTTTTACAAGAAATATTTTTTTTATAAATCACTAATTTACAAAAACGCGACTGCCAAAAAACGAGCTAAAAAAATAATAAGCTGTAATATGGTTCGGCTAAACTTCTCATTGCAGGCGGGGAACATTTGGATTAAAAATGTTTCACAGAACGAATTCAAACAACGAACAATCTTCATTGGCGAACAATGAAACTCGGGCATAAATACAGGAAAATTCATGGAGTCGTGTCCATTTTTCAATTTAATTTTCAAAAGTATTACTCTTACAAGATGTTGCTATGCAATTCGTAACATTTTTAGTTAACTTGCAAAGAATATTCGGTAAGTATTCGGCTGCTTTTGTTATAGCTGCTACTGAATAGTATGGGAATATTTGATATTCTGCCAAATACCGAACGTTTATGAACCTAATATATTTTGTTGTAATGAGATAATTGTTATAATAAAATAAATCATTGATTAATTTTATAATAATATTGTTTTCACATTTATTACAAAATTTAACGACTTTTTTTGCATTTGAATTGTTGTCGTAATCAAAGTTTAAGAGCGTTTTCTTTTTCTTTTTCATATACTAGCCCCGCTCTAGAGAAAAGACGATCTGAATAATCACTACTGGCGCCGATAAATATTTTGCTGCAATCTTGATCAAAAACGGAAATTTATATATTTTCTATCACGTATACGCAGTTTCATGCTGTAATATGTTACTCAAATTAAGATCTTTTTCTGTCTTTAACTGCTTTTAATATCTTGATACAAGTTTTGTTGCAACATAATGGCCGAATAGCTAATGCCTAATATTCGGTTATTTGTCCATGGAGCTCACCGAAAATTCGGTAATCGGCATATGGACGAATAAACCCAGTATTTGTAATTTGTCGCGGTGTTTGTGATCAAATCAAATCTCAATCACCCACTTTTCAGTGTCCGATTGTGCTGAAATTATCAGTTATCTTAATTACGCGTGACTATGTTATCATATATTTAATTTTAAATTTCATTTTGTTGTCAATCCAATATGGCCCCCATAATAAAATGGCGGCGTACATATTTGAAGATAATTCACCCAATATGGGCATTAAATGAAAGGGCTTAACTTGTAGAATATAACACATTGTAAAAAAATCTCAAATCCAAGAATGTCGCCAGTACAAAATGGCGTATCAGGCACATATTTTTGTTCAACCAACCCAATATAGGTACCAAATGAAAATGAGACGGATTTTATTTCAATGGAAAAAAGTTAATAATACAATCAAAAGAAAAAAACTTTTTAAAACGAGCTTTTATTTTTTTATTTCGACATACATATTTACGTAAGTATTAAATATTTTCGTTTTTATATCAGATACATTTTTTTAAAAATAAAAGCGAGCGTCAGGCTTGATTGACTAGTTCACAAATAAAATGTTATTTATTTCGGATTATTATTATTATATAGAATATGTTCACAATATTTTAACGCAATATTTTTTTTTGTCAATCCTAAAATTAGTAAAATTAGTATTTTTTTTGTTTTTTTTCGGTTAATATGATTATATTCGTATATAAGCTACTTGATACTTCTGTCCTTCCTTTGAAAGATACCATATATGATATTTTTTATTTGTGAACTTATGTAGAATTAGTTCACAATTTTTTTTCGCATTAACATCTTTGTCAATCCTTAAAATTACTAAGATGTATTTTCAGTTTTTTCCGGGTCAGTATGATTATATTACGTAGAACAGAAGCTGCTGTATAGGTATCTATTTCTGTTCTTTCTTTCAAGGTCAAATCTACGTAAATTAATATTATTTTATTGTTAATCTTGTTATTTATGATTATTTTGTGTTAAGGTTTATATTTTAAACCTTTAATTATAAAAAAGTAGTTGCTTTTTTGTCTGTCCCGATTTACAACCCTAAATCCCGACTAATTACACGCGCTGTCCCGCACGATGTATGTTGCCAATAAACTCTAAAACTACTAAACCGATTTCAATCAAATTTCACATGTAATCGTATTTTGGTCTAACTTACTGGATAGGATAGTTATTATCTCAATTATTCGCTTATGTCGTGAGTATAAACGAATAAAATGTACTAATTAATTGTTTCTTAAGAATGTGTTTAGTTTTATAAAGTTCTCATAGATGGCGATGTACGTTGATTCATAGTGTATTATTATATGTCTAATAGTATTGGTTTTTGAATGTAGCTATACTTTAAATTAAAATGACAATCAACCGAAACCTTAGTTTTGTTTGAACACGGAACCTGTCAAGGGTCCGAAACATCAATAAAACTAAATTATTTAACATTTATATACAAGAAACATTGGTAATAAGGACGCAAAATTTTAATACTTTGCTCATGAGTAACTTAAAGAAATATACTTATAAAATTCACAAGTAAAATAAAATTCATAATAAGACAAAAACATAGTTGTAATATTTAAAATACTCCTCATAATATTAATAATCAAACTCTGTTCTAAAACTAACGAATGAGTCTAAGTCAAACATCATGCCATATATAGTCAACGGACCCATATAAAATTCTCTTAGGTATAATCAAAGAGCAACTCGATTATTTTCCTTCTCGATATATATTTTTTGCTTTCAATTCGCTTACGTAAGTTAGTGTCCTGTGATTACTGTATAACGATTACCGTTAATCTTTGTCAACACTTTACATTTAATTGGAAATAATAATTATTAAACACTTCAATTTACCTTTGAAGGTATTCATAAAAACGGTCCGATATGTGTTGACGCTTGTGCGACGATTACATTATTTGTATTTATTAAATCAAA